AAGAAGCCAAGTAAGGTTTACTTAGTAGAAAGTTGAGAAATAATTAAATGTTTTTTCTTAGTTTTAGTATAAATGATCTATGGAGAAAGTTATTTTGCCTAGTATTTTTATTATAAGTTTATGCCAAAATTTTATATAAACTTAGTTTTAATATTCTTTAATGTATATATAATGTTACATTTTGTATAGATACTTTAAGTTTCTAATAACAAGTAGAACCTAACTTGATATATCTAAAATTACAAACACATGAATCCAACTGATCAAAAAGACAGTTGCTATAATATAAATTAATTTTCAAATTTTTATTATTTATAAGATTTGAATACTAAACCTGTTACTTAGAAATTAACAAACTGTTTATTTCATTAGGTTACTACATTCCTGTAATGTATAATTAAAAATATAATAAAAACAGTAACTGCTATAAATATTAATTTTAATAACAAAAAAAATATGCTAATAAGTATTTATATTTTATAATTAAATTTTTATTCTAGCTTTATATCTACATTTGAAATTTTGTATTTAATTAAAATTTTATTAAATTACAAAAACAAAACTTAGTTTGTCTTTAGTCTAATTTGAACCATTAATCTTGTTAAGAAGGTTTAAAAGCTTAGCCAATAAACTATAAAATCAAACCATTTAAATAACTTAAAATATGCTTAAATCATTCAAAAAGTAAATATAATAATTTAAAAATATTAACACTGCTGATATTATTTAGTATAACTAACAAACTTAGTAAACTATTTAATTTTTATTAAACTAAAAAATCCGTATTTTGAATTTAAATATTTTTCAATTTTAACAACAAATAGACTTCTTATATAAACATAACATATAATTTAAATAAAATTTTAATTATAATTGTATGATTTTTCATTTAATAACAGCTATATAATAAATATTTTACAACTTAAATTTCTACAATTTTGAAAATAGTCTTATAATTATCTTGCTCAAAAGAATACTTTTAGCACGGTTTATATTTTGAATACATCTTTATACTCACAACTAAATATAAAAAAAAACAACCTTTATTAAAATAATCCTTAAATATCAATATAATAATACGTATTACCCACATAAGAAATTCCACTACTAGAGTTAGTATTAGAGTTCGTATGTTTCAGATTAAAGTTTTTACATTGGTAATGCTAGAACAGTTGCTACTTCAAACAGGTATGTAGATGCAACATAGTCAATCACAACTACAGACCAAAATTTGATTTTATGCGCAAACAACTTTAATTAGCAAATAAAGTCGATTTGTCTAGTAAAAGCTCAAAATTCCACCAATCTATAAAAGTTCGATCAAATTATTGGAACAGTACACGATCGATCACACAAATAACATTCCAAGTACGAAGGTTTTATTACGTCAATTCTTGGAAACAAGCTTTGGTGGCTAAATTCATCATAGCATCAAACGAACGCTTAATTTATCATCTTGAGCTGTTGGTATTAACGGGAAACTTCGTTTCTGCTTGTACAACGGATTAGGTATTTTGAATAATAATTTCCCGAACAGGACATTAAAATCAACACAATACATAAATATTCATTTGTGCATTTTCAACTGAATATATGAGTAATGGAAAAAAGCCTGTAAATTGATTCAATACTTTTCATATTACGGATTCAGCCCTTAAAGAATCAAATCCTGTGATTGGCTCTTAACGTCATTTTTCTTTAATAAATCCGTTGGATGACCAAGAAATACGTGTTATCGAAGTGATTAGAACGATCATTTGATCACATGTAATCATTGTGGGATCAATTTAAATAGGTCGTGCTCATCATGTGAACGTTGGTAAGTAATTTACTTTCCGTACTCATGTAAAGTTTATTAACATAAAAAAACTTTAAACCAAAAAATATAGTGGAGCTACATTATCAATTGGTCGTAAGAATGTAGACCGATAATCTAAAAGAAAGAATCATTATGTTACTATGTCCTGTACATAATAATGAACCTCATCAAACATTCGAAACATACCTAGATTCAGTATTCGATTTCAACAAGGAAATATCATTTCGAGTCATCCTCCTTTAAAAAGCGAAAGTAAAGTGATTAATATTACAACCAATAGTAAAGAATAACACAAAGGTCAAGATTATCAGATCAGATATAAGGTAACCCGAACGAAAGAGTAGTCTGAATTGAGTTACATCATAATATGATGTCTTGTGTATCGTACTCCATAGAGCTACCACTAGCGAACCACGTTCAAACACTCCATGGACCATGCCAATCCGTCAAAAGACTTCATATTATAATCCAGGAGGGTATCGTTTCTGTTTATTCGCCCCCATTCTCACAGGAATCTCAGCTAGAGATTTTTATAGTTTTTCTCAGACCTTCCCAAGGGTCAAGATGACGGCAAGGAAACCTCACTGTCCGTATGTTTTCCCCTTACACAAGCTTTTCGTTCGGATTGTATAAAGCACAATATCATCATATATAAGGTGAAGAATGAATAATAAACAAGTGATTTCGAACCTTTATCAAGCGAGTTTTAGCCTCCGCTATACAACGATAAGAGGGAGAAAAATAAAGAATAAAGAATTCTTTATAAAAACCAACCAATGTAATACGTATAAGTCACGTATATAAAATGCCAAAGCAGGCAAGTTTTTAAACTAATAACCATACCGATACGAAACGCCTGTAGATCTCCCATTTCATTGCACCTCTGATCTAATTGGATAAAAATCATAAAATCACTTATCAAATGATAAATTAAATTAGATTATCTGGATATTTTCAAAGCCTTTGGTAAAAAATGTCGACCGCAGTCTTAAAATCGAAAACTAAAAAGGCCATTAACAAACCAAGCCGTAAAGGAAAAAAAGCGTGGAGGAAAAATGTCGACATAACTGAAGTTGAAGAAGCTTTAGAAAGGATAAGAGATGAAGAAAGAATTTTAGGGTGTGTTTACAATACTGTGTGGAATTAAAGTTGCGTCAGTCGCCTCTGATGTATAGTCAGAGGCTTAAATAAATTATAAAGTAATGAGGAATCATATAAATTTAAGGATTTAATTCAATGTTATTTTATACACTTATTTAATGCAGTGATAAACTTAATGACATACCTACAGAAAAACTTTTTTCAGTAGATGTAACGGGAGATCACAAAGGTTGGCGATGCGCTTTAAACTATTTTTATTAAACTTCAATTGGCCTCTGCATTGATTATTCTATTTACTGAAAATTTAAAGTAAAAAAAAGACTCGACAAGAAATTCGCAAAATTACGCATTGATCAAGTTTTAGAGAACCGCAGCAAGATCCCCGAGGTGCTCTCAAAACCGAGGCCAAATTATGGCAAGAATCATGCTTCAAAATATACTAAAATGATGCTAGAGAAGCTCGCAGGAAAAAAGCATCTGGGCGAAAACTCAAATAATACTGACTCTAGTGAGGATATTATGAAAACAGGAGAGTATGATGTATGGGCACAAGGTTCAAAGAAATTTTATGTTTGTATGGGTTTTGAAGTTTGTTCTCGATGATACTTACTTTGTAATATTATTAACACACGATCAATTAGATAATTTTTCGCATTCAGTAAAGGAGCGAAAAATTAAGGTAGACTGTTAAAAATTTGCTGAATAAATGTTTATATTTGTCAATCATGTATGTAATCACATATTTCTATTCGCATATTATCTACTGAAAGCCACCTCCGACCTTAAATATGAAACCTGCAGCTAACATTCCTGCAATTCATCTACCGCATTGTGGATCAAGCTACATGCCATCATTTAAGGAGCATCAGGTTTTTTTTCAAAGATATTAATAATGTCAAATTTATAATTAAGAATGCTAATTATTATATCCTTTATAGGAGCTCCTTATGATTGCTCATGAAGAAGAAGTTGTCAAATTAAAGCAAATGCAACATATCAATTCTAAACTTCCGTACCCCCTTGATGCTTCCTCTGCACTAAACATAGGAAATATGATTGAAGAACATGATGAAAAATCATCAGAGGAAGATGATGTCGAAAGTGAAGAAACTAAAGAAAAAGCTGTCCAAACAAAAGTGCAGCGAAAAAAGACAAAAGCTGAACGGAACAAGGAAAAAAGAAAAATAGCAAAAATAAAAGAGGAGGAACAAAGAAAGACACAAAAAAACTTTATTAAAGAGTTTGAAAGGTAGTACTTTTGTCAACCATACTTAGAAGTAATAACGTCTTATAGTAACTATCATATTCTTCAAATTTTAAAACAATAGACTTCCTGAAACTCTCAAAACTGTCGAGGATGAATATGCTGAGCATGAAAAGATGATGATTGAATGGACGAAATTGGCCGAAGAGGTGAAAAAAATGCCAAAGAAAAAAATTGGCAAATATCGGTAAAATATCTTTTATTTATTATGTTTAGGCTATCTGTTTGAATCATCGTCATTAAATCATATTCATCAGAGTCCGAAAAGCACCAATTGATGTAAAGCTCACTGAGGATTTGGAAGGAACACTAAGACTTTTAAAGGTACCTGTCTGATAATCCTAGCTACGATTTTTTGTATTAGTTTGCTTAAGATTTACGTTTTGTTATTTAAATAACCCATAATAGCCTGAAGGAAATCTTTTCCGTGATCGAATGATCAGTTATGAAGAGCGTAATATTGTCGAGCCGAGAGTACCTGTCAGGTAAGACATTTGACAAATTCTTCAAGCTAGTAATAAAAAATTCTTATGATATTTTTATTTATAACTTAGTAAAAAACGAAAATATAAACTTAAAGAGTACGTGAGAAACTCATATAAAAATTTCCAGTAGATAAGTATGGTGGATTTATTGATTTAATTATAATAGTATGATAGGAATATTACAAATAAATAGGGCATTTAACCGTGTTGACCATTTAATTCAACCAATTCTGGCCCATGATCAACAACCGAAACTATGAAACAATTTTTAAAACGGTTCTAATCCTTACAAATAAATAACTTTTAATTTTAAAAATACAATTTGTATTGTCAAAGTAAATAACTATTATGGCTTTTGCTAATTTTAGAGTGCAAATAAAATTATGAGGTAGTGTTGGTATTTGAATAGAGTTTAGGGATTGGTCCGGTTGGTTATTATCAATAGCCGGTCTCTCGCGGTCGGTCATATGGTCAAATCACCTATTTAATCAAATAACTAATAAAAGGCAAATTTTAATATTTAGCTATTATGACCGAAATTTTTAAAGAAACCACTTTATTACGATATTGATTATGATGAAAGCTAGAAATTAGAATATGTGAGAGATTATATTCTGAATTCCTGAATGTTATGCCAAATATAAAGTAATAAGACTATGATTTATTAACGTAATAGTTACAATAAAGTTCTTATACTGAATATAATTGTCTTTTTAGTTTTTGATTTCAAAATTTTGTATTACAGTCAACCCTTCATAAATGCATATCATCAGGATCAAACTTTTGAAGTTTTGCATTTAGAGAACAATAATAAAAAATGCATTTATGAGAGTTTAGTATATATTTGGGTCAGAAAATTAATATGATTTAAGGAGATAATGTACTTAGAGAGAATGCATTTAGAAGAGTTGAATGTAATTCACATATTTTAGTATAACTAAATGTAGTTATAATAATAACTTGTCTTTTAAGTTAAGAGCGTGATTATTTGAGATTTTTTTTATATTATTTCAAAGTTAGCAATGGCATTGTGGTAATTATTAATAAGCAATCCAATAATATCCAGATAATAATAAAAATCCAGATTTATTATCTGTTTTAAAAAAATAATATCTGTTATTCTTTTAATATGCAGATACATCTGGAACATGTAATTCAATCCAAGCACTAATGTTGAGAAAAACAATACAAACTAAATATACAAAATATATAGTCAAGTATTCAAATACAAATTTAATAATATAGAATATATCAATATTGTAATAATAAAAACTATTTTAAAAAAGTAGTTTTTAAACATGATTATATCAAAGACAATAGTTTATCAAATATAATTGATAAATAATTTTTTTTATACATTATATGCTACTCCTTTTAAAAGCTCATATAGATTAACTTTTTATAAAACAAAAATAAATTTAACAAATGAATTAATATCTTTGCTTCATCTTATAACATATTCTATGAATTTTACACCTTTTTTTTGCATTTTGATTGGCCAATTTACTAAAATTTTTTTTTTTTTTTTTTTTAATGTTAATGGTGACAATTTACTAAAATTCAAGATATGATTGGTTGATAATCATATGTAACTATATTAGAATCATTTTAACAGTCACTTTTGTTAATTAGATCTCTAATATTAATCAAATAAATCAAATCAAATCAAATATAAATTAGTTTATATTTGATTTGATAAATTAAATTCAAATTAGTTTAATATTTAATTTGAAAAATCAATCAAATTCAAATGAATTTAATATTTGATTTAAATTTGTAGAACTCTAACTTTTGCAATTTTTTCATAAATCTATTCTAAGTTTATTGTATATAAAAAAATTATAAACTTATACAAATATTTTTGTAAGTTTACAATTTTTTTTATATACTATAAATTTTATATAAATTTATATTAAATTTTACATAATATAAAAACTTACAGAGGATGGCGATCCTAGTGTAGTGGTTGGATTGCCATCCTCCAAGTGGCAGGTCTAAGGTTCAAATCCCACCTATGATGAAATTTGGAAATTAACCTGTGTTATGGCAAAC